TTGATATCGACGGTTGTCCTTGGGGTTTTGCTCCCCTTGGTCAGCTCTGAGAGACAGTCGATGTGGAACTGTGTTCTTTCTCGGTAGATGCGCAGCCGTCCACCATTGACTTTGTGTCTTATTTACCCAGACTTATTGAAACAACAATTGTCCCCCTAGGTTGACTGGGAGGTTATGCCTCCTTGGATTGCCTCTAGGGTTAGAGCGTTTACCTGTTTTAAGGCGAGCCATGAGTTAGCCAGGTCTGGGTGCCACTTCTTAGTGTACTGCCGCCCGTATGGTGCTCCAAGGTTCTTACCAACGACAGAAGCAATCTTTGCCACGATGAATTTCGTGAGCTTGCTTTGATTTCAGACAAGCGAGATTAGTCAGAACAACAGTAACAACTGAGTTTGTATGATGAGATCTGTTGCCATTTTCAGGTGTGCGAATACTTAATAAGCGCCATCGATTCTTTTCTAACATCGAGACAGTGGCTTCTAGTTGCTGGTACAATCTGTGAATGGTGTGTCTACAGGGAGCCCTTTTTTTACCAAAGTGCACACGAAAACGTCTTTATGTTGCCACCAAACTCTTCGTTTCTTCAAAAACATTGTAATTTTTCCCTCTGCTCAACGTTCAGCCAGTAGTTATCCGCTATATTGTAAACTGCTCTTTCGTAGCAAATCCGATTTCGATACTGACTTCTCTTGAATTTACTAGATTTGCCATGAACAAAAGCGCCACTCTAAAGTTGTTTGTGTCTCAGTTGAATTTCGACTGGAATATATTACCAGAGTTAAACTTACGAACTTATGTTGAGAAATCTTCACGAACGTAACCACTACTATGGCTGGCTATTCTACTAACAGTCTATTTATTACTATGGCTGGCTATCTACTAACAGTCTAGCCAAATGTAATGAAAAAATAGCAAAATCTACAGATCTACCTGCATGTCCTATTAATGACGCGTCTATTTATTACTATGACTGGCTATCTACTAACAGTTCATTTATGTAAACTTCATCATTTGTTATCTCCTTATCAAAAAGCTGCCAAAAAATTAACCCGCCTAGCCGTTAAAGTGGTTAGTGACGCTGACTGCCGTATCAGCGATTTCGCGTTAGGATCCCGGAGAAGGCATGGATAAGCGTATAGTGTCTGTAAGGCGAAGCGGCATTCAAAATACACGACAAGCGGAAAATCCTCTTAAGAGGCCTTCAGATTGCCCCAGGGGGGAATGTTCTCTCAGAAATGAGGCAGAAATGTTCATTTCGGAACTATACCTGCGCATATGGTGAAATTCTGCTGTCTTATCCAATTCTACTTCTACCTGTCAAGAAATGAACTGCACCATTGTGTTTTTGAAGAAATTATACCTCTATCTATCCCAGGGTTTCTTTACTTTTTTTCAGTCGCGACCGCTTTTTATCACTGAGATTTTTTCGCGACACCCAGAACCCCATATTATTTACAAAAATTTTGTGGAATCCCATAAGTATCGCGCAAATCCGACGCACGCGCGAGTGAAACTGTCAGTGTTTTCACTTGTACTGTAATATAGTACTATTGCAGTTTTAGGTCATTAACTTTAATTTCTAATTGTAAGACATAGAACAATGTGAAAATTTTAAATAAGTAACAGACGAAATGACAGCGTCACGTGCAAAGCAAAGAAAATAAACATTTATATTATAAAACCAATGCGTCAAAAAGTTTTCGTTTTTTTTTTTTTTTTTTTTTTCCCTGTCTCAATTGTCTTATCTTTATCTATTTTCAGATACATTGAGTAAAAATATTTGGTAATTGTAAAATTATTATAATAAGTTAAGAAAGATCAAAACCGCTAAAATGTTTGGCGACCCTCTGCTGCAGCTCCCGCGACCCACAGTTTAAGAAATTTTGATCTATCCTACTCCTTTTTACCTTGAAAACTTTGAGCGAAAATTGAAAATAGCCACCAATAGGCTCCTACCTATCAACAAGTTGTGCTTTGTGACTGGTTTTCTCTTTCGATTTCTATAAAAATTTATAAAGCAGAACGTTGTGTCAAATTTTCTAATCAATTTATACTGTTTTTCGACTCTTTCATCTTCAAAGGGTTATGGGTGTAAAATTTGAAGTATGGATTTAAAATTTCTACACATGAAACATTTTGCTAGCTGCTGTAGGATCCGATATCGAGTTGAATGTATATTGGATGACTCGGAGTCGAGGCACAATATTAGAGGGTCATTTTGGAATAATAATTAATAAAGTACCACTCATTCACTGCATTTTTAGAAACATTAAGGTTTCATTGCCGAACAGTTGACGCTTGGAGGATTTTAAAGTGGAAAATGAATTCCAAATCTAGTGTCAGAGGACTTAACATCTCATCTACTTTCTAACTAAAGATTTCAAAATTCAAAGCGAACCCTTAAAATAAAACCTATTTGTTAACACGTCACCCTGACGGTTACACAGATTGAAATGTATAATAGAAACAAAACTCCGCTGCTTGCTGTTAATTCAGAATATACGTTCAAATTCAAAATGCAAATTTAACCACATCCTATTAAACAATAGCTCGGCCCCTAAGTGCTCTCGAAGAAAAAGAAGCTAGCAGAAGTTTAATCCGATAAATTAAATTCAACCAGCTGGGAAGCAAAGTAAAATGACATTGAGTCTGCTTTGCCAAAACTTTCTCCCTCTCTACTCAAAAACTCTAAAAGCATCTCGCTTATTTATACATTAATAATTCGCACTCTAGTGGGAGTTGACGAAAAGAGAAGTGAAAGTGCAGCGAAACTAATAAGATAACTGAATAAACTAATTTAAAAAAAAATCTGAATGCTTTCAGATTTTAAACAACAAAACAGCATATCTTTAAAATTTCCGATACACAGTCTCGTGCGCTGCAGATAATTTTTTTTTTTTATCCTGTACAGTGTTGTCATTACTTGCTTTGAAATCGTTGAGTTTTTTTAATCAAAAACTTATAAATGCTTTAGAAAATAAGAACTAGGTAATAACAGAAATTGCAAATTTCAAATTTGGACTTCCGGATGCCCATATTCGGGTGGAGACGTATGTTATTCAAAATTTGATGGCTCTAGGTACCGTTGTTTTATCACAATGCGCGAAACATGCATACATTTATGCAGATTCTTCACTATTTAATCTCTTTAAATATAATACAGGGTGATAATATTTGGTGGCAACAATTTGAAAAGGGATTCGCCGTTTATAGTGAATCAACGCAAAATGCCAAAACAAAATTAATACCCCTTCTGGGCAAATTGTCCCTTTGGGCTTTTTATATTATGCCTAAAGGGAACTTTTTTAACGTTTTGGGTGTTACTTTTATTTATTAAATATCATGTTCTTCGCACTTAAACCGTGAAATTCAATGCTACAAAAAATTTATTTTTAAAAAAACATTTATTCTTTAATTTCCTAAAAGTGTATATTTTTCAAACTTTCGATACACAGTCTTGCGCTTTGAAGATAAATTTTTTTTTTTTTTCGTACAGTGTTGCCATTGCTCGCTTGAAATGTTGAGTTGTTAATCAAAAATTCGTTAAAGTTTTACAAAATATATAGTAGATAATAAAACAAATTCCAAGTTCGGGCTTTTTGATCCCCATATTCTAGTGGATGACAACTTATTGCAAATTTGATATCTCTAAGTATCGCTGTTTTTTCACAGCGCGAGAAACATACATACATTCATGCAGATTCTTCATCATTTAATTTCTTTAAATATAATGCAGGGCGCTCTGATATTTGGTGGCAACAATTTGAAAAGTGAAACACCGTTTTATATTGGACAACGCAAAATGTCAAAACGAAATTAATAACCCTTCTTGACAAATTGTCCCTATGGACTAAAAAAGTTAGTGTTATATTTAATTAAAAGTTAAAAAAAATTTGGCTCTTGTTGTGTTAGTATAACATTGAAATGTAAAATTAAGACGCAAAAAAGTGAGTTAGAAGTAAAAAAAAAGAATAAAATTTATAAAATCCCATTTATGATTGATATTGTATGCATTCTGAATTTATGCATTTAATGGTATGTTAAGTTAAATGTCTTCTATTTCGATTAATTAAGCTTTTAAATTTTAGAAACTGTTAATTTTGATTATACTTCCCTAAATTCTTTTCGAATATTCTTATTATCAATCTTGATAAACATATCACTCATCATTTTTACTTTGAGGTTATGATATGAGCATTAGAAAAGTTAGAAAAAGTAAATAATAAGTAACTTATCGTGCTTCGTAAAAGTGTATAAGGTTAAAAACGATATTTTAGTTAAATAATAACTTCCTTTTCTTGTATACTTAATTTCATATTAGCAGAGAGAAAGTTATTCGAAATCCTAATTTCGGAATCATTAATTTAACATATGCTAGCAACGTCAGCCATTTTTATAAATTAGTAAGATTTGCGATAAATGTCTTTTAAATAACAATCTTTCTTTCTGGTTGTTATTTAAAATGCTTTTATTTAAAATCTAGGTAACTATAAAGTGAATTTTGTAAAGCCATTAGCTAATTAATCATTATTTATCTGCTTTTGTAATAATTCTGTTGACATAAAATTACTTCATCTTTATGATGCATTTTCAATAACAATATGCTGATTAATTGAAAATGGGAAAAGTGCATTTTACGATCTGGATATAGTCAATGTTTTTCCTCATCTGCTGATAAGAATATTTGACTAAATACATAGGTGAATAATATAGATAACTGAACTTTGTAATCTTGTATGATATTTAATCATTTTGACGCTGAAAAATAATAGCGCTGTCACATAATGACGTACAGCTCTGAATATTAAGGGAATGACGCCATTATGGCTCTTGAGATACGCCTAAGTATTAGCGTTCTAATCTCAACCCATTATCCATCTGTGTACCTCTATGAGAATATCAGCATCTGTCGAGTCTCAAAACAAACGCAGTGCTTCTGCAGAGAAACAGATTACATTTTAATCCCTCTTTGCTACACTGTCTGGAGTATTCGTTGAGACTTTAAAAAAATTAAATTCGGATGACAGTTTTTCTTAAGTCTCATGTTATACCATGATCGAATTGCGCAAAATCTGCAAACGTTCCATGCTTCAAAAGCATTAGTTCCTTCAAATGCTTAGTTGGATGTGTACTTTAAAAATCACTTTGTGATCTGTTACATTCATTTTGAGGAAAGGATATTTCGAACTCAATTAGAATTTTAGAACTTTATACTTCCGTAATTTAATATTTTGTTAAGAAGCACTGAAACTGCAGTTGCTCCAACTCTTATAGTTAATCTGAAATAAACCATTGTTTTAAACTACTTGAACTGTATACCAATTTAAAAAAGTGTATCGTCAAAATATCATAGCTGATACATGTTTTGAATATGTAGAAAATGAGTATCTCCATTTATCTTCGAAAATTCTTCTCATGTACTTTGTTTTATGCCAGGAATATGCATTGAAATCAGCCCACGCTGATGTACCAGATCATTGACAACGGAGGAAAAGAGACAACCCCCTGATGAACAGTGAGCATGGATTGAGGTTTGTCGATATTCCTACTTCCTCAGTGCTTCTGAGCTTTAGTCTGGATACGCGTTTTGAGTTATGTCTCTACAATCAAATGCGGCAAACAAGTATTTTCAATTTGTCCAGGCTTCCTGTTTTATAATAGCTAGTTTAAGGTACGAAAAGGAATTATTTTTAATGGAGTCATCAAATCGCTATATTCTACTATTTTTACTTCTTGCTCAATTAATAGCGGGTGTTAACCAAGGAAGAAATAATTTGAATTTAGAAAACTCTGTTAATAGCAATCAAGCATTATTAACCGACGATTTGAAATTGGCAAATTTTTACCGACACACAACAGGAGGAAATGAGGTCCTTAAACTGAAAGCCAGAACCACCATTCTTCCTTCCAGCAGGAAAGAGGAGCCTTCTGTAGTACATGAAAATGCATCTCTGTGTGCACCCTGGGATTCCTGCAAATCTCGTTGTGGTGAAAAACCTCGCGGATTACCTTACACGTGTAACTGTGATAACCAGTGCTCTTTTTACTTGGACTGTTGCTTGGATTACCAAACTGTATGTTTTGCTAACAAGACAGCCGATAACGGTAAACCCAGAAGGAAGTCAGACACAAAACCTAAATGCGAGCTTTTGTTACACTCCTTCCCAACATTCATGATATCAAGTTGTTCGAAACGGCATGAAGGTACATCATTAGAAGAACTGTGTAACATTCGAATTCCTCTTCAGTGTACTTTGACCGATCATATGAACGAATATAGCGAAAGCGATAGATACCACCATTGCAAAGATTTAGTTTATGTGGACTGTGTGAAAAGGTTTAGTTCTAAATGTGACAAAACTGTCGAACCATGGTGTGTGACTGTCATTAAAAAGCAGTGCAACAGAGCATCTGCTAAGACTTGTCTGAGGTGCAAACGTAATTTTTGGCCGGTCGTTTCTCTTGATGGACTTTTGTATCGAAATTCTTATTGTGCACTTTGCAACTCTATAAATAGTTACACTGTCTTAAACCTTTATAACATTAGTCAAATGTTGCAGTCTGTTGATCACGATATCTGGAATACAGGAATGTCTTCTAATGATATATTTAGGAATTGCTTGCCGTCTATTATCGACACTTGTTCTGAAAAATATGAGTTTAATAACACTTTTCATGCTTTATGCTCTAATAGTTCTGGATTTGTAATCGTCAGTGGAGGAAACGAGGACAAGAATGTTTTGTATAAAAACTTGTATTGCGCAATTTGTAATGGCAACAGCATTGAAGAATTAGCATGCCCACCATGGTTGTTGAACTCAACCAGAGCTTCTCCCTTACTGCGTGGAATCATTCCGCTTGTGGATTTTGTGACGGGCGATGTCCAAGGATTGAGATTAGATGATATTCCGGCTGCTTTCTCATTGCTACTGAACTTTGGTTTAGATGGGCGAGAAAAAATTTATATCTCTTCTGAAAGTGTAAAAAAAATGAAGGAAGACCAGAAACGTTGTAAAAAACATGATATGTGGGATCCCTTCAGTCAAATATGTAGAAAAATTCATTGCAGTGCAGAGTTTCGTCTTGTCAATTATCGTTGTGTGAAAAAAGATGGACTAGACACGGAAACGCATAAACGAAACGAAACAGTTCTTATCCCAGACGCTAAGGCACAGTTTGTTCATCTGACACTTAGCGCAGAGATTGAAGTATGGGACTTCCTGCAATACAAAGGATTCATTTCAGAAGACATCGATTCCATGACTGACAGCTTACATGAATCCCTTTCCTCTTCTTTTAATATAAGTAAAGAACGAATAAGGAATGTTAAAATTAATATATCCCTGGGAAATTTCACTAACTCTAAGGAAATGGTGCGGTTCCTTGAAATAATGGAGGATTCTCATCCAGTCATTTTAATAATAGACTTTGACTTGTATGAATGTATGTCAAAAAATATTACAAATTCTGGACCTTCTGTAGATAGCATTGTGTCGATGCTTGCTTCTGCGATTTCCCTTAACGGTTTTGAACTAGGAATAAACAATATGACAAGTAGGATATTTGAGATCCACGAAACAGTTGATTTTCTAACGTCTTGGTGCCTACCTGAACATGGGGGCGAACAAAAGGAGTACCTGAACTCAGATTTCACACTTATTCTGAACGAGAATGCTTCTTTTAGTGATGAAAATAAAATCATAGGTATATATATCAACAAAACAAACAAATATTATCGTAAAGGTCAATTTGTAGTAGATATTTTATACAAAGGTCTCCAATTTGATCAGAAGCTAGTTAATGTGAGCGGTATGGCCATAGTATGTGACCAAAAGGCGAAACTGAATGAATCGTGCGCAAGAGTTCTACTTGAAAAGCATGAATATAGTATTTCTGAAAACGGTTCATTTTTTATGCATAACTCGAGCCTTAGTGAAAGCATGATAGATGATACGGTATATGAGTACGCAGAAAACGACAGCGTTTATGTGTGTCTTCGATCTCCGGCAACAATAGAAGAAGATGAAAGCTATTCTTTAGATATGGACATTGTTCAAGCATATGTCAGCTTTGTACTCTCATGGGTTTCAGTTGCTGCCATGGCTATTGTACTGTTGACGTACTGTGTATATTCTTCCCTTCGAAACCTTCCTGGCTGCAACACTATGAATTTGACATTCTCGTTGTTGGCGATGCAGATTACATTTCTTTTTGGCCAGCGTAATAATGTGATAGGAGACGCGTGCAAAGTTGTTGCACATATCTTACATTACGAGATACTTTGTTGCTTTATGTGGATGAATGTTATGGCATACGACTTATTCCGAACATTTGGTAACAAAACATTGTTAAACAATATTCGAAGTAAAGGGAAATATGTTCCACGATATATGGCTTACGCCTACGGCACTCCAGTCATAGTTATAGCGATTACGTCTTTGCTGGATAATTTTTTAAGTGAATCGAATTTTTCTCCTCGTTACGGTAGGAACAATGTATGCTGGATCACCAACAAAGATGCTGCAATTGTTTTTTTCGCATTACCATTAGCTTTAATCATGTGCATAAATTTCTGTTTTTATATGTTGACAATACTTTCTATAAGAAATGTAAAACATGTGCTCTATCTCAGTGATGAAAAGAGCAGGCAGAGAGGTAAAAGCGATGTATTTCTGTACGTAAGAATGGCTGTAGTACTTGGACTAACATGGGCTTTGGCTTTTGCTGCAGCATACGTAAAACAAGATAGGTTAACAGGTCAAATATTAACATATCTTTTCATAATATTCAATACTTTGCAAGGAGTTTTCATTTTTATCGTGTTCGTTTGTAACCGCAGAGTGTTTAAATTATACAGAGATTCCTTCAGAGAACTGATGACAAAGATTTCCAAAAATTCGGCGAGTGGTAAAGCTTCTCAAACCCTCTTCAGAATAGCGAATGTTATGAAACGCAGTGTCTCTTCCGATACTGTAGTATCAACTGTATCGAATTCCAGTACTAATTCAAATGATTCTACTTTAAAAGTTATCAAAGAAGCCGAGTAAAGGAAATAGTGAGCTTTTTATAAATTTCTGTGGAAAGGTAGATAGTATCCAGTTTGTAGAAGTTTCCGTTAACAGTACAGTTTTTTTTTTTTTTTTTCCTGAATCAAAAAACTTTTTTAGAGACTGAACACTTGAAGATCTGAATTTAAAACTGTAAATATTTTCTGTATATATAGTTAGCTGTATGTGACGTTACTATATGCTTAAATATTTTTCTGTAGAAAAGTGAATGAAAAACTATATTCTAGAGTATTTCTGCATTCAGTTTACAGTAATTTTTGTTTAAAATGATATAGTACAGTGATTGAATTCATTTCATTTGTAGATAAAATTGAGAAATTTATAAAATATTCTCTATGCGCTTATAAACTTTTATATCTTACAATGAAATTTTCTTAGCTACTTATATCTTAGTTTTGTGTTAGATTCGCTAAATATATTTAATACAATTTAAAAGGCCTAAATTCTCTAAACTTTAAATGAATATTTTCTTAAAATAAGAATTTAATTTCTAATAAATGTCAGAATTTTTTAAACAATTTTTTACTTTAAGAATGCATTCCTACGATATTTGATAGATATATAATTAATCATTTATACAACTTCCTTTAATGCAATTTTTTTTTTTTTTTTTTTGCTGTCAACTTCCAAACAGCAAAACATATTTGAGAAAACATGCAAAATACATAACTGAATTTCCATTAGCAGAAAACCGGAAAAATTCTGTTTGCCTAGGAAGTTATTTTATGCTATGTTAAATAAATACATATAATAATAATAAAAATAAATAAAGAACAAAATTAAATAACTATATATATATATAAAATAAGGGAAATTTATTTGGAAGTGAACAAAGGTAAACCTGTATATCTAGCGCCTGTCATAGATAGTTAAGGAGAGTACAAGTATTTATTTTATTTCAAATACATATAAGGTCTTATGCATTTTAATTAACAGGCAAAAAATTTTGTTATTAAATTTATACAAAGTATAGTATATATTTTCTAAATATATTTTCTTGTAGTAAATTGTATTGAAATTATATGTATACTGTATATATGTACATAATGCATAGAGTGTTTGAAAGCAAAGTTCTATTTTTCTAAATGATCGATCTTAGACGTTTAGAGTAGAATTCCAGCTATTCAGATTCAAAATATCTACATCTCTGTTCTTTCAGATATCGTTTTTCCTTGTGTTTTCGATCAGTGGAAAATTGTGAATTTACTATATACATGCTTTTAAACTTTTGCTTGGCATTATAAAGTGTAAAAAGCTAATAAAATACAGTACACCTTTTTAAGAAGCTGTTAAATTTTTTTAATGAATGTATATGACACGAATCCATTAATCTACAACGTTTAGCAAATATGTATTCTATAAAATATTAGTGTCAAAGATGTTATATATTGTTCTATTGTACTTTATTTAAATTGAGAGTTATTGGTCAGTCATTACAGGTCTAAAAAAGCTATATTTATTACATTTTAGTTATTGTTTTTCATATTTTACTTTTATGAGAAAGGCTTTCTTTAATTTCAGTTGAATAGAATAGGATATGCGCTTTGGTTTGTTTAAATAAAACACAACTCAAGTTCTTTTAATACAATAAATTAAAAAAAAACTTGCTTGTTTAGTATTAGAGGCTTCGTAAATATAAATGTTTTCCATTGCTTTAGTTTAGCTGGTGTAGGTAATTAAAAAGTGATTTTTATTGATCAATTTAATCGAACTTATTTTGCGACAATAAAAATGATTTAAAAAATTAAATAAAAAATTACCTCTTTGCTTAACTTTAGTACATAACCTATACTTTTGTAAGTAGAAATTAATTTCATTGCTTTAATTTAGCTGAAATGATTAAATGGTTAGAAAATTAAAAACAATTTTATTGTTTTATCCGTCCGTTGATCTTCATTTTGAGGAAATAAGAATAATGTTGCTTTAATTAAAAAAAAATTTTGGTAGGTTTTAATGCTGTGATTAAAACCGAGATAAAATGTTTAGATTTACAGCCTACGTAAATAGAATTAATAATTCTATGTGTTTAGGCAGATAAAAAGTAATTTTCTGCTTTAATTCGGTCGATCTTTTTTTGCGGAAATAAAAATAATTTTTGTAATGACTGCATAATTTTGAGATAAAACAAGATAAATCCAAAATAAACACGAACTATATAATAATGTTTGTTGTGATAAAACAAGATAAAAAATCTTCTTGACTTGCGTTACATAAATATGTACTCCCGTTTCGAAATGATTTTGCTGTCTACATGTTATTTATATCGAATGAATATTTCATTAAAAAAAAGGATTTTTCTGCTCTGTCATTAATTTCAATGCGTAAGTATAACTCGTTAAGCGCGATACAACTATATGAGTATAATGAGTACTTATTTGAGATATATTTTGTATGATTTAATTTTAAAAATTATTTATTGCTTCATGGGCCGCATTAATGAGTTTCTGGCCTAGCAATTCTAACGAGTAACTCATATTGAGGAACTCAAGACCAACAATTCCTTAAGAATTTTGCTGCCGGTATTAGTTTCGAGGAAACATCTAAAACCAAACAAGGTTTGTTAATTCTATTTTCTGACATTTCTCTAACAAAAGGGAGAAGAAATTTAAATGCATCATTATATTCATTTAGATTTTCGAGTCTTTCCCGGTAAAAATGTATTTTTAATAATTTCTTTTGATTTTTAATCAGGACTCTCATAAACAAAATGGCGAACTTTCATTCCTCTCCTTATTGCTACTATAAATTTTGTTTCTACCTTGATTTGTACGGATAATTTTTTTTTTTTTTTTTTTTTGAGTGTATAGAATATTCATCAAATGTCTCATTAGATCTGGCTAACGATTAGAAATTTAACGAATTCTGTAAAAAAGATTTAAAGATTCATTTAAGTTCAACTTAAGTTGTACTGCAGCATTTTGCTTATATGATCAGTTTTAGAAAAGATACCATTCCATATAAAGATTAAGCAAATGAACTTGGGAAAAGAAACCTGGTACATGCTCTGTTTTCCTCAATTATTACTTCCTTATACGAAATAAAGGAAGTATGGTAATCGCGAAAACTTTCGAGCATCATATTCCAAAGGAAACATCAATTTTGACCGTTCTGCGTGACGTCTGTACGTACGGACAAAACAAAGACTTTTTACCAAAACGGATTAGAAAATGGATTCAAAAGGGATTTTTTTCGTGATGTTTGTACGTACGGATGTATCTCGCATAATTCAAAAACCATTATCCGTAGAACGTTGAAATTTTGTATGTGAGGCAGTTGAATTTTGTATGTGAGGCACTAGGCTTCATTTTCTGCTATCCCATCTTACAGATTTTAGTGTTAATTAAATCATATTACGGTTTAATATATCTCCTCTGTAAGGGCATGGAAAGGGAAGAAAAAGGTACATAATTTCATAATATGAAATAAATTAACTGTGTTATTTCGGTTGTTTCATTAACACCTAAATTCCCGGAATGAGATTCACAGGATAGCAAAAAGAATCTAGAATCGACAGTTTTAATTTTTTTCCGGAAGTCACTATGCTTGCCAATACTGTTATCATACTCTTGACCATGAAAGTTTTGGATCTGATATTCCGGATTGTAGTTGATATTCTGTTCAAAGTTCACTTAACAGATGACTGCCTAAATGTTTCCCTGTGTTATCTATCACTGTATAAAATCCAAGAAGTAATTCTAGAATAGCAATATGATAGTTGTCAGTATTTAAAATTCCTATGACGAATGCAATTTGTATGACGTTCATATCGTAAATTCGTACGACGGATGTTATATGTTCAACATGGCTGTCGTCTGGTGTGCAGTCAAAAATTCCACTTGTTTCACCAGATCCTTAATTTTTAATTTTACTCTATTTACCAAAATATAACAAACAAACAAACAAAAAAACTGAAAGTTTTTTAGATTTTAAATTACGTTCAAAGGGACTTTTTTAAAACGTTTTGTGTGTTACCTTTATTTATTAAATATGATGTTCTTCGCACTTAAACTATAAAATGCAGTTCAACAGAAATATCGCAAAATAATTTTAAAATGAGCATATCTTTAGAATTTCTGATATACAGTTCCGCGCGCTGGAGATAAAAAGGTTTTTTTCCCCATAGGTGTTGCCATTGCTCGCTTTTAAATCTTTCAATTTCTTTATCAAAATTTCGTTAAAGTTCTACAATATATGAAATCTCTACATATAATAAAAGAAAGTGTCTGTGTGTCTTTCGTTCGCGCTGCGCGTAAGCTAATAGACCCACGGCTACGAAATTTGGTACGTAGGTGCATCTAGACAAGAGCCAGTGCACCTCGAAGCGATTTTTTCGAAATTCGAATTTTTTTATTTTATGTTTTGTGACGAAATCGCGTCATTTTGAGACATAATGGGCTATAGGAAAGCGAGATTTTACTCTACACACTCCATTTTCATATCTTCATGAAACGTAGGCACTTAGCTATTTTACGAACTTAAAATAAATTTCGTGTTTCAATAAATCGATTAAATACGAATTAATTTAACAAAGGGAGCTTAACACCTTTTCAACGGGAATTTTCTAAAAACGTTTATTTTTAAAATTGTACAGTTTATTTATTTATTTATTTATTTTTTTTTTTTGATTTTTGGACACGTTAAACTTTCATCCTTGCGAATGCTTTTACAAAAAGAATTTTGGAAAAATGATAATATTTTGTATTTAAAAAAAAAATTAAATGAAGCTTCCGAGTACACTTCTCATATCTCACATCTTTAAAAATGTGATTTTGGCAACAATTTTCCTTTCTTATTGCTGTTGATAGATTTTTGATGAAATCGCATCATTTTGAATAGTTTCATTCTTTTAGAAATATGGGTTTGGCAACAATTTTTCATCGTATTTCTTATGTCACTTTTTTAAGAGATTGGCATACTTCATTGTCATTTTTTATATATATAATACATTTTTATTGATTTTTTTTGATAAAGTTGTTCTGCAGAGTAAAATTCTGCGCGGAATGTTTTTTTTGACTTACTTTCATGTTATTTATGTTATTTTTTGCTTATTTCACTATTTGCAAGATATTGAAAACTTTTGCATTATTTTTTTTCTTCAGCGGAAAGTTGGTTAATTTTTTTATTAGGATAATTAATATTTGAATTAAGGGATATCGCTTATTTCATTGTAATTTTGTTATACGTAATAACTTTTTTATGAATTGTTCTGTAGAATAAAATTCTAAGCAGTTTTTAAATTTAACGTTTGGTGTTCCCTTCAGCCATTTTTCCGGTACATTTAAAAGCCAGACGAAGGCTGGCAGCGAAGCTGCTAGTAGATAATAAAACAAATTCTAAATTTGGGCTTCTAGATGCACATTTCGGGTGGAAGCGTACGTTTATTCAAAATTGGATGAGTCTAGGTACCGTCGTTTTATCACAATGCGAGAAACATACATACGTTTATGCAGATTCTTCATTATTTATTTTTATTAAATATAATACAGGACGATAATATTTGGTGGCAACAGTTTGAAAAGTGAATAGGGCATTTATAGTGAACCAACGTAATATGCCAAAAACGAAAATAATAGTCCTTCAGGAAAATTCCCCTTTGGACTAAAAATTTGTTTACAGATGTGTAACCTAAAGAATCAGGCATATGCGTTTTAGATGATTGAGACTGTGTCCATTTCTGGACATACTGTGAAATAATAGGCTCAGATTTCACCAAATCATATAAAAATTGAATAACTGCGAGCGATATTTTAAGATCTTATACTGTCAGATATTTTAGGTATCTCTAACGCACGAAAGGAAAAAAGGACTGAAATACTGGGCTGGCATCAAACCCTGTGAGACATTATTTGCTGCTGGTAAATAGGGATGTCAGATTTTAAGTATTTAGGAGCTGTACAAAGCATCTACCGCTGGTCCTGCTGAAATGATATTTTAATATTTCAAGATTTAATGTTGAGGATATTACAAAATCCAGAGGGAAAATATTTGAAAACTAAATTATTTTTCAAGTGATTAGAATTATTATTTCATTGCAAATGACATAAAATGCAATAGAATTCCAGTCATCTGAATTAATTGGGATCACACGCTTTCGGAAAAATCGAAAAATACGTATGAGTAATAAATAGAGTCGATTTTGTTTTTTGCTTCTGGCAAATCTCACAATTTCCTGCCCTCAAAATAATTCCCTGCCTGATCGCCCTCAAAACCCCAGAGTTTCATTCAAATCTGCGCCAAAAAAAAGTTGCAGTTTTGCCTAATTTTAAATAGAGTAGCTGTTTTTTTAAATCAAATACATACTTCGCATATTATGCTATATTATGATAATAAAAAATATTACATATTGAAATGAAGGTAAAAAATTGCATATGCTAAGTCTCTTGATCTTCGTTAAGGTTCAATTCATCTTGACCAGGCTCTT